TATATATATATATATATATATATATATATATATATATATATTAAGGTCATATGTCTAAGAGAACTGTACCTGATATCTCTTATAGCAACAGTTTACCTTTCTTCACTCACTCTCGACACTCTGCATTGTTCTGTTTCAAGTTGAGAGAAAAAATACAATTCCGTACATCTACTTGAACAGATTTATTTCCCTAGAAGATGTATGGGAGTCTGTGATCACAGCCAACTTACCACATTCTGTCTTGACTACTTGTACTTATGACAGATTGAGAAGCAAGAGGTTTTGTAAAATACAAGCAATTTTAACTGTGTGTGTTCATTCATTAGTCTTTCTTCTGAACACTAGGGTTTGTCGATGCTTGTCTCCTTAGAAGAATAACTAGAACTTTATCCTGTATTTAACCCATTTAACATGATTGATTGCATTGTAACAGCACAAACAGCTACAGATAAACATACATGCCAAATGGATAGACATGCATGGCGTGGAAAACTTTTCAAAGAAAAACAGATATTCAGGGGTAGCTGTGCTGGCCATTTAGCAAATTCAGACAAAAAATCCATCAGTGATACCTTTATTGGCCAACCAAAAAACACCTTATACTTTTTGCCAGCTTTTATTATATATTAATAATTAATAAATTTAATCATTATCATCAGAGATATAGCCATGTTAGCCTTAGCACTTCTTTCACAAAAATGCTAAAAAACCCTTTGCATAATTAAATAATGTTACAGACAGTATTTGACTTTGATTGCTTATTTTTCTCTCAGCATCATGGTGACCTCTGCTTTGCCTCAGTGCAACATTTTACAATGCTATGGTCCTCTGGGTTAAAAGAGGAGAATTAAGTTTTCATGCAAGGATTTATTTATTTACTTAATTACTTAATTACTTGGTTTATATGATGCCTTTCTCCCAGGACGGGACCCAAGGCGGCTTTCATAACAACAGATTAAAAATGTTTACAAAATTTTTAAAAACCAATTTAAAATCACCATATTAAAACACTATAAAACATTAAATATAGTACCAACTCCCCCCCGCCCAAAGATTTAGAGGCAAAGATATGAAGGCCCAGAAAAAATATATATGGAAAAGTGTATTCTGAAAAATAAGGGAATGTTTCCCTCTCACACACTTTTTTTTTTCTGTGCCTGAGAGAGTGTGATTTGGCCAAGTGGGTTTCCATGGCTGAGCGAGGATTCAAACCCTGGTCTCTAGAGTCATAATCCAACACCCAAACCACTATACAATCTAAAATCTGAATTGCCTAGCATTTAAAAGCAGCCATTGACAATATGAAAAAGGCTAATGGCACAAAAATGTTTGTATCTTCTGCCAAAAGGAGAGCAGGGATGGGGCCATCCTGGCCTCTCTAGGGAGAGAATTCTAGAGCCTGAAAGCAGCCACCGAAAAAGCCGCCTTCCTTTTCCTCACCAAATGAGCCTCAGAGGGTAGCGAGACAGTGAGAAGGAAAATCTTAGCGCTCTAATAGGTTCATAAAGGGAGATATGGTCCTTCAAATAAGTTGGACCCAAGCTGTACAAGGCTTTATAGGTCAAAACCAGCACTTTGAATTGTGCTAGGAAATGGACTGGCGTCCAGTGGAGCTGTTGTAACAAGGGAGTTGTGTGTTCCTTGTGCCAGCTCAATTGAACAACCTGGCTACAGCTCTTTGGACCAAGTTTCTGAGCACTTTTCAAAGGCAGCCCCACATAGAGCTCCAAGCGAGATGTAACCAAGGCATGTACACCATGGCCAGATCCAACTTCTCCAGGAACGGGATGCACTAGTTTTAACTGTGCAAAAGCACTCCTGATCACTATCAAGACCCAGCCCTCCAGGCTCAGAGCTGAATTTAGCATGTTTCATGATTATGTACATACATAGAGTATTCCAGTTACTATTATTTTCCTATAATATTTCTTTTATGACTGTATTTCAGAGTTACTTCTGTGGCCATATGTGTATGGAGGTATTGAGCCAGTAGTTTGAATGTTAGACTATGACTCTGGAGACCAAGGTTTGAATCCTGGCTTAGCCATGAAACCCACTGGGTGTCCTTGGGCAGGTCACATACTCTCAGTCTCAGGGGAAGGTAATGGCAAATCTCCTCTGTACAAATCTTGCCAAGTAAATCCCATACTGGTTTGTCTTAGGGTTGCCGTAAGTTGGAAACAACTTGAAGGTGCCCAACCAGAACAATCCTCTATGGTTAACATAAATGTGTGGCTTCCTATTAGAACTGCAAGTTGTCACTTGAATGAAAGAAAGAGTCTTGCAATGCCTGTATCTCTTTTAGAGCCAGATGTGTGTGTGTCACATTTTGCGCAGGAATTTGTTTTTTATTCCTGGTGAAGGTGTTTTATGTCGGTGCTAAAATGCAGTATGAGAATAATCTTTGAGGCCTTGGTCTGAAAGACTTTACTAATCCACATTTATAAGTGTTAAGGTTCTAACTGCAGACTATTTTTAGCTCTATAAAGTTGCGTTTCTTAGGGAATGTAACCTGATATTCTAACATGTTTTGGCAGGAGGGAAATGTAGTATTTTAAACAACTAAGAAGGAATGCAAAAATTGACTAGCAGTCAAACGGGTTGGCTAAATGCTATTTTGGTGTATGCGCACGCTAGGTTTGCTAAAATATTTTCCCATTTGGTCTTATATAATTTCTTGAGACAGCACAGTATTGTATCTGTCAACATTGTGAAAGCTTTTTCAAAGTGGTTGTATGGATTCAATTATTCAAATTTTCAATTCAATGAAACTATTTTTGCATAATTGATTTTAGGATTAGGGTCTCTAAGATTTGACAGGCAGCTCTTTACCCCTTTCCGTAAAATTCATTTAAGTAATTTCTGAATTAGCAGGATGATCATTCCATTTTTTCTTTTTTATTACTTCTTATTTTTATGCTTCTTGAGAGAGACTTTGCACAAAGCTTTTAAATATTTTTTCCTCCTCCCACTTTATTATAGTGTTTTAAATCAACACCATCAAGCTTGTGTGGCAGTGCTCAAATGACAGGACAGTCTAGAGCCAGTGTGGCATAGTGGTTTGAGCATTGGACTGTGACTCTGGAGAACAGAGTTCGAATCCTCACTCAGCCATGGCAACCCACTGGGTAACCTTGATCAAGTTACACTCTCTCACTATTAGAAGCTATAGACTAAAATGCCTTGAGGACCACAGGTTGCTTACCTCTATGCTAAGCAGGCTTTCTTTTAGACATTTTAGTAGGATGCAGCTCAATGTTCTGTTATCCTTTATCCCTCTGGAAGACTTAGTTATAGGAAAACATGAATTTCAAGGGCAAGAATTACTCTTTGAGGCTTCTCTTTCATCTATTTTTACTGCCACGTTTCATTTTCAGCTTCAACATACAGTGAACATCCAAGAAAAGTGAATGGGGATAAAATAAGTGTGCAATAATCAGAGCATTATTAAAATACATGGCAGTGGTGTACTTGTAGTTTTTATTGAGTTGTCCAAAACATGAAAAATCTACAGCTGAACAAGTTGCTCTCAAGAGAGCCCTAGTTCTTAAAGGACAGTCTAAAGCTGAAAGAAGCAGCATCTATCTACCTGCCTGAGGCTCCTTGGCATTTCTGTCTCTTGCGCAGAGATAATTTTCTCTGCAAGATGTTTTGAAGGAATCATGCAAAGACTTACGAGGTTGAAACTATTCCCAGCAGAGTGAATGTACACTTTGATTTTGTATCTTAGGTCATTTCGCTCCTGGTTCACAATCCCCAAGTGAGCTGTCTTCCAGAGGTATTACTGCTCTGTTATACTGAAATGATGGGACAGCATTTGGGGGAAGAAGTTGCCGTTGCCAAGAAAATGAAGAGGTCCCATTGTACGCATTTTAACCTTTTTGCTAGCAATACGGTTTTCATTTGCTTGAAGGAATGTTTTATGGTCCCAGAATGTTTTGACAGGCTGAAATTTTGTTTCCATTTCACAATCTTCTTCAGGAAGCTAATACCAAAATGATACCAGGCCTCACTAAAACCCTTTAATGTTGTGGTGGTTGTGACTCTACTCTCACATGCCTAACAACACCCCAGCAGAATTGTTTTACATCCTTATTGGAAATGCAGTCTCAGTAGGTCAGTAATTGGTGGTTTTCAAACTTTGTTTCAGGGAGCCCAGGACTTTTCAGGAATTTCTGATTAACTACCTTCAAGCATCTTGCCCACCAATGTTGATTTTTGCCCTCCATTATAGAAATCAAGAAACGGTTGGATATCTTCTAAGCTAGGTGCTTTATGCACAAAGCTGTAGAGGCCAAATATGCTTGGTATGCCCGAATAATGGACTCTCACCCTAGCTTAGCATTATGTCCCTAAATTTTACAACACAAAAGGACATCATGGTTGATAAGGAAGGGTTCCCTTGTGGAGGTCAGCAATGGAACAGGATGTTGAAGGCAGAAAACCATGGAATCACAGAATCTTAGAATTTGAAGGGATCACAAAGGCCATATAGTCCAACCCTTGTCATGCAGGAAGACACAGTTACAGCACTCCTGAAAGATGCTCATCCAAACTCTGTTTAAAGACCTCCAGAAAAGGGAACTCTACAATCTTCCAGTGCTGCTCATTGCACTGTCAAACAGTTCTTACAGTGAAGACATTCTTCCTAATGTTTAGGTGGAATCTCTTTTCTTCCCATTTGAATCCACTGGTTCTGTTTCTAGTCTCTGGATTAGCAGAAAACAAGCTCTGTGCGAGAGTGGTTAGCACATGTTGGATTTAGTCTGTCAACCATTTACAAATTCATTTAAGAATAGCATTGTGTGGCCACAATTTATCAGCTTACCTGTAAAAATATCATAACCTTCTCAAAAGTCTTTCTGAAATCAAGACAGACTACATATGGAGCATTCTTCTGATCTACCAAGCTTGAAAGTCTACTAAAAGGAAGATAAGGTTGATTTGGCAAGATTTGTTTTTGAGCATGCTGGTACTTAGTAATCATAGCATTCCTTTCTAAGCGTGCAGAGATGTTTTTTGACCTGTTCTAAAACCTTTCCTAGTATTAATGTCAAACTGGTCAGTTGTTGCTTGGATTCCCCCCTCCCCACCCCTTTTAAAAACTGAGAGTAAAAGTTAACTTGGATGGAGAAATGACACTGAATATAGACCATGTTGTCGTTGTTTTTAAAACATGAAATTTAGAAAATCTTGAATTCTGCATCTGAAATATATCTTGGTGACTTTATGTTTCATTAAGGTGGTGGTCATTGATTCTGGCAGTAGCCGTAATTGTTTTGTTGCTGTTATGGCATATCAAAATCCATCATTTTGGCCCCAAAATCTGCCCTCAACTTATACATGAGGTTGATTTATAATTGAGCATGTATGGTATATGCTGTTCCTATGAAATACTTCACATAAAATTATTAAACCAAGAAGCATCAATAAAAATTACGCAGTAGCCTTGAAGAAGCTGTTGCTATTGTTTATCCCTTCCCTTCAGGATAAGATGGCTCTTTAGAACAAATGCCTCTGCTTCAGAAGGGGTGACAATTGCGGGAGAGAGGTACTAATTCCAAGTAACTTTTACCCAAATAGCAAGTTGTGAATTTCAGTGGCTGCCAAACATAAAAGAAAGTGCTTATCTGCAGAGCATAGTGGACATGTGTTCATATAAATGGCCCATGTGGATCATGTCTCCTGTCCATCCTTGCTGCTTTTACTGCCACTGTTGTGACTCAGAAAACTATCCTTTGTCTCTTTACTTAAAATTCTTGTCATAGTTTAGAGAATACATGAAATGTACGAGTTTCCATTGAGGGGGTGTACATACTGGGGTGTTCTGAAGGCTCCCATTTTCTTAATGTGCCCTGGTAAGGATAGGGATGTGCACTGTGGGAAATTATTTTAAAATAATAGAAATTTGCGTGTGGATTAAGCTGTGGAATGGCTGCTGCGTCTGCTCCTTCATAATTGGTTTCAACTATTTTAAGACTTTGGCTAGTATAGCATTTCAGATTCTGCTGCAGTATCACTTTGGCAGCTTTCCAGAAATAACTTGTATAATCTGCTACAAGGAGAAGGAAGTCAGTGTTTTACACAGCAATGTCAATATTAGATTTTGGTGCTTAAAATGAGAAAATGTTCAGGGTGCTATTTTGTAGTACTGTTTTAGCAGGCAGATACTATATGTACAGGAATGCTGTCCATTGAGATGTTGTCATCTTTACTGTAAGAGTTATCTTAATGGGAGTTTATTTAATTTTTGTATATTAAATTTTTTTATATCACATCAGAGGGCATGTTGTTTTGATGCAGAAGAACAAGCGAAACACTAATAATAAAACACACAAAAAATGGCCATAACATAGCTGATACCCTAAAACAGAACATCCATCTAAATGTGTGTGTGTGTGTGTGTGTATATGAGAAAAAAGAGACAATGGAAATAGCATTGTTCAGTAACTTGACAAGCAGCCCAGTTACCAAACAAATTACTATGTGTTTACTCTAAAACAATGGTAAGAACATGCAGTGCTTTCAGTAGTAATACATTTCTATTTGGTCTTGGCCTTGTAACCACCATTATTGGAATTACTTTAATATTTAAGTTCATATTCCAAATAAGATTTTGGGATAAAAATATGTGAAATCTTTGGGAACTGTCCAGTATTGTTAATACTGTATAATGAGTGAAAATTGAGGTGTTTATTGAAAGATCTTTTACTTTCCCTGCAGCCCTCCTTTCATCCATCCTTGAGAATGCTATAACAATAAGCCAGCCTTATCAGGGTTTACTTGGCAAGATTTATTCAAAGGAGGTTTGCCATTGCGTTCCCCTGGCATCATGAGCTTTTTAGATTTCAGGCTGAGAGAGTGTGACTTCCCCAACGTCACCCGGTGGGTTTGATGGCAGAGCTGAGAGTCAAACCTTGGTCTCCAGAGTCATAGTCCAACACTCACCCTGTATTTTGCTTTCCTTCTGGGAATCCCCGCTCTCAGGTTTTGTTCCCTGACAGTCTTGATACTATTTTTACTTATTAGAAAAAAATTACTGTCAGTTAGTGATAGCGATTGCATGAGTAAATGGTGAGGGTGAAAGGAATGAACAGGACTTGTTGCTGTGTGCCTTGAAGCCATTCCAATTTATAGTGACCCTAAAGCAAACCTATCGTGGGGTTTTCTTGGCAAGTTTCTTCAGAGGGGGTTTACCATTGCCATCCTCAGAAGCTGAGAGAGTGTAACTTGCCCAAGGTGACCCAGAAACTGCAGTTCTGTCCTTAGCTCCAACTAGAGTAGACCCAGTGAATCTGTAGAATTTATCTATGTATTTACTTGCCAACCTACTATTAATTGGTGGGGTCTAATAGTAGACTCAGGTTGTCTCCCTTATCCAGAATTCCAAAAACTGAAATATTCCAAAAACCAAAACACTTTTCATGGGTGGCTGAGATAGTGACACTTTTTCTTTCTGATGGTTCGGTGTACACAAACTTTGTTTCACGCACAAAATTATTTATAATATTGTATAAAATTACATTTAGTCTAGGTTTATAAAGTGTATAGGAAACATAAATGAATTTAGTGTTTAGACTTGGGTCTTATGTAAATACTGGTATTCCAAAAACCAAAACACTTCTGGTCCGAATCTCAAATCCAAAACAAACCAAATCTCAAATCCAAAATACTTCTGGTCCGAAGCATTTCAGATAGGGAAGACCCAATCTGTATAGGCATGTGTATGCTTTCAGTCACAGCTAAAACATACAGGTTTTGTGCCTGCTTTCTCAACAGATTTCCCCCACCAGTATGGCCTCCTCATCAACACCTAGATGTAACTCAACCTCCATGGAGAGCTCCTCAATTAAAAAAGTGAGTATATTTTCTTGTTTAAACTTTTCCTTCTTTAATATCTGTAGCTGTGTACATGTGGCTGTTTCCTGGAGCATCTGGATTATTCTTTGTATTGATATCATTTATATTTCTCATAAAACTGAAACTAAATACTGAAGTGCAGATGGGAAGACCAAACGCTAACCACATCCCTGTTTCAGTATGAAAGGTAGGGTGGAGGAAGGAGAGGTACCTTGTGACTTTTGGATTTATTTAACAGATTTATTTCGCACAAGCCCTT